GCACTTAATACATAACCTAACCACAGTTTCAAACTCCCTCAGAAATGTAGTCTTAACTGGTCTGTCAGGAATTCTTCAATCAATGCCAATGAGTATGCCATATGGACCCTTCTCCATCCCCCAAAGGAAGAGAAATGAGGTCATCTGCATAAGACCCCTGGCTTTTCCCACTAGAAAGGAGCTAGCCTAGAACAGTCCTTTTCTTTTGCTAGTAACTTTCCTGCCTCCACACTCCTTCTATAAAAATCTTCCATTTTGTACAACTCCTTGGAATGCCTCTCTACTTGCTAGATGGGATGCTGCCTGATTCATAAATCATTTCATAAAGCCAATCAGATCTTCGATTACTTGGTTGAACCTTGTTATTTAGCAGGAGCGAAGATAGTCTTAAGCAGATCAAAGAGACTAGGTCTAAGAGTGGGTCTGTGCTAATGTTTAAAACAGTGTACTATGGGGGCGCCTGGGTGGCTCAGTCGTTAAGCGTCTGCCTTCGGCCCAGGTCATGATCCCAGGGTCCTGGGATCGAGCCCCACATCGGGCTCCGTGCTCAGCGGGAAGCCTGCTTCTCCCTCTCCCACTCCCCCTGCTTGTGTTCCCTCTCTCGCTGTGTCTCTCTGTCAAATAAATAAAATCTTAAAAAAAAATAAAAATAAAAAATAAAACAGTGTACTATGAATTAATTCAATGTACCTTTCACTGGAATGAGACAAAATCAACTTAATATATGTGCTAATAAGACCGATAGCCTACTTGATAAAAACATTACTTCTGCTTTAACATCAGTTAGTAAAACAGCTTGCAAAACATCTAACAAAATGACGTCCATGAAGATTACTATTGCTACATTTTTAGGTAGGTAAATAATTTCTTGTGAATTACACTGGACTGACCTTGTTGTTTAAAAGGTAATAGTCTAAGACTAAACTAAACCCAAAATAAGTAGAAGAAATAAAATAATGGTGAAGTAGAAATCAATAAAAGAAAAATACAAGAGAAAAATAAATGAAACCAAAAGTTGATTTTTTAAAAGATCAACAAAATAAAACACAAATTCCTAAAATCAGAAATGAAATAGGGAGGGTTATCGCTACGGACCTTACAGAAATTAAAGGATTCCAAGGAAATACTTTGAAAAACTTTAGACAGTGTAGATAATGGAACGGACAAACTCCTAAAAAGATACAAAGCACCAAAATTAACTCAAGAAGATAACAAATAATCTGAATAGATCTGTAAGAATTTCTACATGTGCTTCCCACAAAGGAAAGCTCACGCCCAAATGGCTTCACTAGTGAACTCTACCAAATATTTAAAGGGAAAATTATATCAAACCTTCACAAACTCTTCCAGAAAACAGTGGAAAAGAGAATACTTCACCAATCATTTTATGAGGCCAGAAATACCCTGACAGACATCACAAGAAAACTACAAACCATACCCTCGTGAATACAAACACAAAACTCCTGTACAAAATACCAGCAATCTGAAATTCCACAACAAATAAAAAAAGATTATACATCATGACGAAGTAGAATTTATTCTAAGAACGCCATATTGGTTTAACATCTGAAAAAAAATCAATTAATGTAATATTAATAAAGAACAAGAACACAATCTTCTCAAAAGATGCAGAAAAAGCATTTGACAACATCCAATAGCCATTTAAGATTAAAAACTCTCAACAAACTAGAAGTAGAGAGCAACTTCACCCTGATAACAAAATCCATGCAGCTAAGATCATACATAAAGGTGGAAGATTGAATGCCTTTCCCCTAAGATCAGGAACAAGGCAAAGATGTTCACTCTCACCACCTGTATTCAACATTCTATTAGCCAGCCAGTCCAGGGCGGAAAGGAGGGAAGGAAGGAAAGAAGAAAGGGCATTCACATTGGAAAGGACAAAGTAAATCTGTCCTTATTCACATATGACATAATCTTGTACGTAAAAAAAACCCTATGGAATTCACACACACACACACAAAAAAAACCTAGAAAGAATAAACAAGTTCAACAAGGTTGCAGAATACAAGTTCAATGTACAAAAACTATTGTATTTCTGGGGCACCTGGGTCACTCAGTTGGTTAAGCATCTGCTTTCAGCTCAGGTCATGATCCCAGGGTCCATTAACTGATGAATGGATAAACAAGTTGTAATATACCCATACAATGGATTACTGTTCAGCAATAAAGCAGAATGAAATACTGACACATGCTACACACAGATGAATCCTGGACAAAATACCAGCAAACTGAATCCCATAACAAAAAGAATTATACACCACAACCAAGTAGGATCTATTCCAAGACTGCAAGGGTTGGTTTAACATCTGAAAAATCCACCAATGTAATATACCATGTTAACAGCATAAACAACAAAAAGATCATCTCAATAAATGCTAAGTAAAAGAAGCCACACACTAAAGACTACATATTGTACAATTCCATTTATATGAAATGTCCAGAAAAAGCAAATAGAGACAGAAAGTAGACTTTTGGTTATCTGGGGCTGGGGTGGGAACAAGAAGTGACTGTAAATGGGCACAAAGGATCTTTTGGGGATGATGGAATGGTTCTAAAATGCAATTACATTAACAGGTGCACAATTTCGTAAATTTACTAAAAATCTTTGAATTGTACACTTAAAATGAGTGAAATATATGGTATATAAATTAAACTTCAACAAAGTTATTTCTGAAAAGATAACGTAAATTCTAACTATAACACAAGACTAGTAACATCTTAAGAATGATATATTCTTATTAAGTTCCCTTATACTTAACAAAGTATCTAACAATAAATACAAATGTTGAACTAAAAAATGAACTTGCCATGACTAAACGGTTTCTTTAAAAATAAAACTGAACAGTTCTAAAGTCAATTTTACTAACCAGAATTTTGTTTAGAGCCTGATGATCCTCCATGTTCTAGCTTTGCTTTCTTCTTCTTTGATGATGATGATGATGATTCAGAAGATACTGAACGTTTTTCTACTACAGGAGTGGAGAGAGCTCGTTTTTTGAACAGCTCCCGTTCTCTCAACAGGCTTGGATCCATAATTCTGCAAAGATGTAAGTATTTTTAATACAGATTCTAATCATTCAAACCTATAGGCCAAATCCCTAGGTCCCAAGAATTACTTCCAAACAAAATTACCTTTATTAGCTCTCACCACTTGTATTTATTCACATAGTCATTCACTTAAAAATCTTTAATTAGTACCTATTGTGTGCCAGGCACCGTGCTAGGCATTAGTAAAGAGAAACAGAATTATTCTTTAAAGCTCTAGAACTGCACTGTCCAATATGATAGCCACTGGTCACATGTGCCTATGGCACACCTGAAATGGGGCTAGAGGTGAGATGTACTTGAAGTGTAAAATACACACCAGATTTAAAAGACATAGTATAAAGAACTTTTAGAATTACTGATGAGATATTTTAGATTGATTACATGTTGATAATATTTTGGATATGCTAGGTTAAATAAAATATTAAAATTAATTTCCACCAACAATATGATCATCTTAATAAATACAGAAAAAGCATGTGACAAAATAAAAATCCGTTCAGAATAAAAACTCTCAACAAAGTGGGTTTAGAGGGAACATACCTCAACACAACAAAGACCAAATATGAAAAACTCAAAGCTAACATCATACCCAATGGTTAAAATGTGAAAGCTTTTCCTCTAAGATCAGAAATAAGACAAAGATATCCACTCTCCCCACTTTTATTCAACACAGTAGTGGAAGGACTAGATGCAGCAATCAGATAAGAAAAATAAAAAAGCATCCAAACTTGTGGGGTGCCTGGGTGGTTTAGTGTCTGACTTTGGCTCAGGTCATGATCTCAGGGTCATGGGATTGAGCCCCACATCGGGCTCCCCAGTTAGCAGGGAGTCTGTTTGTCCATCTCCCTCTGCCCCTCCCCCCCCGCTCATGCACACACGCACTCTCTCAAATAAATAAAATCTTTTTAAAATCTTTAAAAAAAGACTATAAAGAAAATAAGCATCTAAACTTGTAATGAACACGTGAAACTGTCACTATTTGCAGAAGACATGATACTACATACAGAAAACCCTAAAGACTCCACCAAAAAAATTAATAAATGAATTCAGTGAATTGCAGGATACAAAATTAATATACAGGAATCTGTTCTGTTCCTATACATTAATAACAAAGTAGCAGGAAGAGAAATTAAGAAAAAAAATCCCATTTACAATTGCACCAGAAAGAATAAAATACCCGGGAATAAATTTAAGCAAGGTGGTCAAAGACCTACAGTCTAAAAACTGTAAGACACTGATGAAAGAAATTGAAGAGGACACAATCAAATGGAAAGATAGTCCACGCTCATGGATTAAAAGGATATCATTCAAATGTCCTTACTTCTCGAAGCAATCTTCAGATTCAATGCAATCTCAATCAAAATAACAATAGCATTTTTCACAGAACTAGAACATATAATCCTAAAATTTGTGGGGCACCTGGGTGGCTCAGTCGTTAAGCGTCTGCCTTCGGCTCAGGTCATGATCTCAGGGTCCTGGGATCGACCTCCACATCGGGCTCCCTGCTCCGCGGGAGGCCTGCTTCTCCCTCTCCCACTCCCCCTGCTTGTGTTCCCTCTCTGGCTGTGTCTCTCTGTCAAATAAATAAATAAAATCTTTAACAAAAAAAAAATCCTAAAATTTGTATGAAACCACAAAAGACCCTGAATAGCCAAAATAATCTTGAAAAAGCAGCACAAAGCTGGAGGTATCACTATCCCAGATTTCAAGATATACTACAAAGCTATAGTAACCAAACAGTATAGTGCTGGCACAAAAAGAGACACATAGATCAACAGAACCGAGAGCCCAGAAATAAACCCACACCTGGTCAATGAATCCACGACAAAGGAGGCAAGAACATACAATGGGGGAAAAGACAGTCTCTTCAACAAATGGTGTTGGGAAAACTGGACAGCTACGTGCAAAAAACAAATGAAACTGGACCGCCTTCTTACACCACACACAAATATAAACTCAAAATGGATTCAAGACCAAATATGAGACCTGAAACCTTAAAACTCCTAAAAGAAAACATAGACAGTAATCTCTTGGACATTGGCCTTAGTAACATTTTTTAGATAGGTCTCCTCAGGCAAGGGAAACAAAAGCAAAAATAAACTATTGGGACTTCATCAAACTAAAAAGCTTGTGCACAGCAAAGGAAACCATCAACAAAACAAAAAGATAACCTACTGAATGGGAGAAGATATTTGTAAATGATATACCTGATAAGGGGTTAATATCCAAAATATATAAAGAACTTATATAATTTAACACCAAAAAAACACAACCACTCAGATTAAAAAATGGGTAGAGGACCTGAATAGATATTTTTCCAAAGACATATAAATGGCCAACAGATACATGAAAAGATGCTTAACATTACTAATCATCAGGGAAATGCAAATCAAAACCACAATAAGATATCACCTCACATTAGTCAGAATGGCTGGTGTCAAAAAAACAAGAAATAACAAGTGTTGACAAGGATGTGGAGAAAAGGCAACCCTCATGCACTCTTGGTGGGAATGCAAACTGGTGCAGCCACCGTGCAAACAGTAGGCAGGTTCCAAAAAAATTTTAAACAGAAATACCATATGATCCAATAATTCCACTACTGGCATTTACCCAAAGAAAACAAAAACACTAACTCAAAGAGATATATGCAGCCCTACGTTTACTGCAGCATTATTTACAAGATATGGAAGCAACCCAAGCGTCCATCAACAGATAAAGAAAATGTGATACACACACACACAATGGAATATTAGCCATAAAAAAAAAAGAGAGAGATCTTGCCATTTGAGACAATATTGGTAAACCTACAGGGTATTATGCTAAGTGAAATAAGCAGAGACAAATACTATAGGATATCATTTATATATATATAATCTAAAAAAACAAAACAAACAAACAAACAGATTCTTAAATACAGAGAACATACTGTTATTTACCAAAGGGGAGGTTGGTGAGGAGATGGGAAAAATAGGTAAAGGGGATTAAGAGATACAAACTTCCAGTTACAAAACACATAAGTCATGGAGATGAAAAGTACAGCATTACAGAATATACTCAATAATTTTATATTATTTTTTATATGTTGCATGGTGACAAATGAGGACTATATATATGGGAAGCACTAAGTAATGTATAT